GCCCCACAAGCCCCTCCTTCAGTGGCTAACACTCCACAGTCAGTTCTCTGCAGCAGGACCCACAACTTGGAGGAACCAGGACTCCTGGGAAACACACCACTACATAGCATAGTAAAAACACTAAATGCACAGAACAGAGAGAGAATACTAAAAGCAGCAAAAGGAAAACAACAAATCACAAAGGAAAGCCCATCAGAATCACAGCTGACTTATCAATGCAAACCATAAAAGCCAGAAGAGCCTAGACCAAGGTGTTTCCAGTTCTACATGACAATAGATGCCAGCCCAGAATACTTTACCCAGCAAAAATGTCTATTATAGTTAAGGGGGAAAGAAAACTCTTCCATGACACAAATAGCCTGAAAGAATATATGTCCACAAAACCAACCCTTCAAAGAATACTTGAAGCAATACAGAGAGCAGAGAAACAACTATACCCTATGGGCAATGAAAGAAAATAAACAAAGATATAATCTAGGAAACACAAAATTACACAGAGAACAAAAACAAAAATCAAAATGATGGCAACCAATACACACCTTTCAATAATAACCTTAAATATCAGTGGGCTAAACTCCCCAGTCAGAAGACACAGGCTAAGTGAATGGATTAAGAAACAAAATCCATCTCTTTGCTGTCTGCAGGAAACCCATCTCACCTTCAAGGACAGGCACTACTTTAAGGTAAAAGGATAGAAAAGAATATTCCAAGCAAATGGCACTAAGAAACAAACAGGGGTTGCAATTCTAATATCTGACAAAATAGGCTTCAAAGTAAAACTAGTCAGGAGAGATAAGGAGGGTCACTTCAATCTGATCAAAGGAACAGTTAACCAAGAAAATGTGGTGCACTCAAATTCATAAAAATAACACTATAGGACTTTAAGGCACAGATTAACTCCAACTCAGTAATAGTAGGGGACTTTAATCCCCACTGTCTCCATTAGACAGATCAACTGGACAAAGAATAAACAGAGACGTCTGAATTAAATGATACCATACATCAAATGGACCTAACGGACATCTTTCATTCATTCCACCCAAACACAAAAGAATACACTTTCTACTCAGAACCTCATGGAACTTTTTCAAAAACTGACCACATACTGGGCCACAAAACAAACCTCAACAAATACAAAAATATTGAAATAATTCCCTGCATTGTATCCGACCACAATGCAATAAGGCTCAAAATCAACACTGGACAGTGCTCTGGTCACTACATGAACTCGACTGAACAACACACTCCTAAACAATGAGTGGGTCAAAGGAGAAATTAAGAAAGAAATAATTCCTGGAATTCAATGAAAAGGACAATACGCATTGGGGGGTCTTTCTTCCCTCTTTTATCCCCTTTGAGTGGAATGTAATTCTTCATCTCCCTGTCATAACAGAACTTTGTCACTTTTGGCCATATCTTCAAATGTCGAATTCTCCTTGGCAGATGTGATCTTCCATCTCTCCAAGCACTTCTTGGAGAACTCGGCAAAGTTGACCAAGGAGTCGGGGTACTTCTTCTTGTGCTCCTTGAGGCAGGTCTGCACAAAGAAGGCATAGGAGGACATCTTGCCCGTGGCTTGTTGGGGTCTCCTTTTCCCATGCTGATGGTGCGAGGTTACCCATCAAGCCCAACCAAGTCATTCCTTCCCCAGGCTCCTAAGAGAAGAAAGACCCCAATGCACCCAAAAGACCACCATCTGCCTTCTTCCTGTTTTGCTCTGAGCATCACCCAAAGATCAAAAGTGAGCCCCCCGGCCTGTCAATAGGAGACACTGCCAAAAAGTTGGGTGAGATGTGGTCTGAACAGTCAGCCAAAGATAAACAGCAGTATGAGCAGAAAGCTGCCAAGCTGAAGAAGCATGAGAAGGATATTGCTGCCTACTGTGCTAAGGGCAAAAGTGAAGCAGGAAAGAAGGACCCTGGTAGGCCAAGAGGCTCAAAGACGAATGAACCAGAGGATGAGGAGGAGGAGGAGGAGGAGGAACTGCCAAAAAGTTGGGTGAGATGTGGTCTGAACAGTCAGCAAAAGATAAACAGCAGTATGAGCAGAAAGCTTCCAAGCTGAAGAAGCATGAGAAGGATATTGCTGCCTACTGTGCTAAGGGCAAAAGTGAAGCAGGAAAGAAGGACCCTGGTAGGCCAAGAGGCTAAAAAAAGAATGAACCAGAGGAGGAGGAGGAGGAGGAGGAGGAGGAGGA